AGTGCAGACTCTGGGCCAGGCCACTGCCCACCATGCAGCCAGCGGGGAACAGAGGGGCTCTTCATGCCGACAGAGACGGGCATTCCGGGGGCAGAGGACGCGTGGGCTGGGAGGGCCTCAGACAAAGAGGCCTTTTGGAGGAACAACCGCGGCATCTTTCTCTAACAGGCAGCCCTGAGGGGGAGCCGCGTTGCGGGAGCGTTCTGATTTCAGGCTGACAAGCGGCTCTCAGCGCTGAGCAGCCTCATCAGAGCTGCTGCCAGAGCCCAGTTCTAGCCAAAATCACTTGGCAGGAGAGCTGGGTGCTGAGCAGCCAGCCCCAGGGGCCAGGGCCAGCGGCGAGGGCCAGAGACGGAACCTTCGAGCCCAGCCATCCTGTGAAGAGCACACTGGGGGCCAGATGCGTGTGTTCTCTGGGGCCCTGCTCCCCGGCTGAGGTCTAAGATGCCACTATTGGGCCTTTAGGATAGATCTCGATGTTGGTGCGTGTGGTGGTTATACGTCAGGTCCTTGGAGCCGGCCAGGGGGATGTGAGTTTGCATCCTGACTTTGCCACTCACTGGCTGTGTGGCATTCTAGGGTTTTCCCAGCTCCATCGTCTGTGGCTCTCTAGTGCTGCCAACACCACAGATTGACCTGGCCGCCCCATGGATGGCAGACTTTGCCTTACATACTGGGGACTTGTTGTCGGGAGGGACGGGTCTCTGGAACAGGACATCCTGGTGGGTCAAGGAGAGGGGCAGCCAGGGAAAAAAAGGAAGGCCTATGACAAGACGCCGTGACTGCGTCCACATGCTCACACATAGAAACAGCTGTGAGGGTGGCAATGTTCCCCATGCAAACCTACCCAGTGACTAGCACCTCACCACACAGAAACAAGCAGGGCATCCTCTTTGAGAGTCACATCCCCTTTAATTCTTGTCACCTCAGCAGCCATTTCCCAAGACTCCTTGTGCCTGGGACCCGGGAGGCGGGCAAGCAGATCAGCAGGGGTTACCTGGGTGATGTGCCGGCCAGCTGGGAGGCTACAGGAGATAACAGGCTTGGTTCTGGAGGAAGGTGCTGTGGGGTGGGGAGAAAGGCTGATGCCAGCCGGGCCTAGGAGTCCAATCTTTGATGTGGGGGGGGGGGCAGGGCAACAGGGAGTGAAATTTGTAAGTAAGCACACTGCCGATTACTAAGCAAGCACAAGCAGGTCTGTGCTTATTGGGCACCGGATGGAGGTGTAGAAAAGGGCCCTTCTGCAGGAGGCTGCAGGGTCCACTGCCCACCTTTCAGATGGTCCCCCGCACTCCTAGGGCTCCTCACGGAGGGGAGAGTAAGAGCAGAGAGCTAGGAAAAGCCCCTGGGG